ATTTTTGGTTTTTGACACAAAAAATTCAAAAAATTCATTTTTTTAGAAAAACTTTGAAAAAATCCAAAATTTTCCGAATTTCGAAAAAAACGGAATATATGTGATAGTCCCAGCGCTCTTCTATATACATACCAAATTTCAGATCGATATCTCGTTTTTTGGCCAAGTTATAGTGAAAAAAAAACTGTTCAAAAATCATGACGTCAAATTTTTGAACTCAATGTTTAGCAATTCTAGACCACGTACGGCAAAACAAAGACCACCATTGAACTCCCCGTGACGAGCTGCATCGATTCGATACCCATTTTAAGCAAAAATATTAATTTTGAAATTTGACCTAATTTGACCTGACCTTGACCTGACCTTGACCTGACCTTGACCAAAACGTGATCTAAGCTGGCCCCAAAGGCTGCCTGACCCATATAATCGCATTTGTCATGTAAAATGGACCATAAAACATGTATCACACGACACTTTCATATTGTGACCCCCCCGTGACCTGACCTCTGTGACCTGACCTGGTATCAGTGACCTCAAATAGCAAAATATGTGTTTGAAGAACATTTCCCCATCGATGATTTTCAAAGAAATGCATTTTACTCGATTTTACAACGCATTTCTTGAAGTGCCTGTAAACGGTGAAAATTGGACCTTTGACCTGACCTGTGACGTCATCGGTTTGACCTAGGTCAATAAAATTGGGACTTGGGTCACAAGGTAGTTCCCCGTTGGGGCTATCCAACGCCGTTTACCGCTTGTCGCTATGTTGCGTGGTTCTCGAGATCTTAGGGGGGGGGGCCAAAATGCCCCCCCCCCCCAACCGGGCGCGTTGCTCGGCAGAGCCCAACGGGGCGCGGGTTATATTAAATCACGATTATTGCCGGCTAATCCAATACAAAATTGTACCTCCGCGCAGTTTCCGGCGTGCGCCTGTCAAGCTGTCCATTGCACCGGCTAACGAGACCATAAATCGTCATCAATCGTCGCGAGACGTTTAATCGGGTCAGTGCCGGGTCAGAGCAGATGCAGATTGATAACCGGCCGCGGAGCTGGGCACGCCGTCGACTGCAGCGGCCCGACACCGGCTAATTGCCCTCCGATCACCGGCCGGGTCGGCTCATCAGACCGGGCTCTGTTCATCGAGATTCGATGTCGAACAAATGAGGCCAGATTGGCGGCGCGGCGGCGGCGGCGGCTGGTTCGCCGGGCCCGGATTGGACTGGCTGTCGGCAGAGTGTGCCGCTCCGGTGCCCAGCCGTGTTCTTGGGTCACCGGGTGCCGCGCCCCGCTCCGGAACGAGCGTCCCAGGCCGTTGGTTCACGTCGGATGACAATGGTGCACACTTGTTTCCCGATCAGGCCCGCTGAAAACGAATACCTAATCTATTTCATGGTGCATTTGCGAAAGTATTTAATCTGGCGCAGGCAACAGAGATGTAGCAATTGGTATTGAGCTAGAACAACTTGAACACTACAACAGATGTTCACTAATCAGTGAATATTTGCAGTACGTATTGCTTCTTCCAGCAATGGAGTTTTAAGGAGAATGATTCCATGATGCGAAATGTTTGTTTTTACTCGAAGACACAAATCTAAATTTTATTTAGAGGGATTTTTATTTCTTTAATGGTATGCACGATTTGTAAAGCTAAGGAAAAAATCTATAAAATCTGTTTATCCAATTGGGCAAACGACAGACGTCCAGAAATAGGTGTATTGGTATCAAAGGCGACTCTGAATGGACACAAAACCATTAAATTGGAATGCAACCTTAATTAGAGATTGACTAATGAGATAGCATCGTGCTTCATTATTGCTATTTTGGGTATAATGCGAAGCATGGAAGGGTAAACATTCCTTATGTGCCTGTCCCATAACAAAACAACTGGCGTGACCCATCCGTCGCTGCTGTCACCTCCCCTCCCTCCCTCTCTCCCCTCTCCCCAACACCACATCCGGAGCGGCTGACCCTGCTAATGGATTTCCCTCCCCTCTTTCCTTCCAGCTCCCATCGACTGTGTTCGTTCCACTCTCCAAGTGAGGATTTGGTTACCGGCGCGGCTGGCATAGCTCTCGGGGAGCCCTCTCACGGCTTCCCACATTTTCACAGCTGCATAGACGACGGCATCATCAGGGGTGAGCCGGTGGCGACCACACATTGGCACACCGCCCTGCAGGCACATGTCTTCAGCAGGGCAATCAGGTGACCGTGGCAGAGGAACATGGTTTGAGGCGAACAAACGGATGCAATGGTTTCCCAACGAGGACCATTATGTTGGAACTCTTGTGTTGGATCGAGGAAATGCATTCATTGATATTTTATTTTAGGGCTGATAGAATACATAACCAGCCTGAATAACATAACGGTTTAGGATAATTATGAAGTCATCGAACGATGATCATATGAATGCATTCACCCTACAAGACGAGCACAGTCTGCGGTGCCATGAATTCCCTCCTACTCTGCTGGTCCCAGGGGAGATGACAAGAGTAGAGAGGGAGGGAGAGGGGGTGACTGCGGTTGGCGCCGGATGCTGTGCTGATAGGGACCACTGGTCCGCTGGTCTTTGGTCTGTTGGTCTGCTGGGATCGCAGGACCAGCCACAGCTCCGAGATCGCCCCTGAGGCGCCGGCTGACCCGGCGGAACAAAGGCGGCGCGGTGCGGCGTGGCGCGGCGTGGCGTGGCGTGGCGCGGCGTGGCGCGGCGTGGCGCGGCGCGGCGCGGCGTGGCGCGGCGCGGTGCGGCGTGGCGCGGCGTGGCGCGGCGTGGCGTGGCGCGGCGTGGTGCGGTCGATGGGTGCCGACCGCACGCTGTTGCCACCCCGCCCATCCCCTTCCATCCGGGCCGTCCCGCGGCCATGGGTCGTTAGCCGCGCTGACAACTTGCTGCGGACGCGGGGAGCAAATAACACTCTTCTGGGTAGGCGCAACCCGGGGCCGGATAATGGACCGTGCATGGAGCACGGATGGCCGCCGGCGGTGGCGTGGGTGACACGGGAGGGACGCCGCGGCGCCATCACTGACGTCGTCGGGTGGACAGTGTAATGTGATGTGCGTAGGATTTCACAGAGTGGCGCATAATACCTGCGGTACTCTATTCAAAGAGTGTTCTGACCCTAATCGGCTCAAATTTATATGAGCCATGTCATGCTTGCACAAACTCAACTCTTTTAAACCGAAATGCGTAGCTATCAACAGAATGTGCAAAGATTGCGGAATGGTTATATAATGTCTAGCACCTCTTCTTTGGATGGCACTATTCATCTATCAATGTAGCTGGTTATGTAAGGACACCCTTCAAAACACTGTGTAAGAGTATCGGGTACCACACATTTGGAAAATCTTTTCTGTAGCTGAGAATAGACATCATATGATGTCGGTAGCCGGTAACCGTCCCTCTGCGCACCCCGCTAACTGACGCTGCGCTCCCATTTCAGCCAGCCGGCACCCCGCGATGAGCTGCCCGTCCCAATGTCGACCCATCGATCGCACTTTGATCATGGGCGGCCAATTTCGAGACGTTTCGTCGGCTCAACATGACCGGCGCTACCAAGTGCGGGCGCTACGTGACCCGACTATGGCTGCGCGACTCGAGCGGTCGTCGTCCTCCCGGTAATCCCCTTTATCAGACGGACGGTGTGCTGGCGTGGACTCTAAGTCAGATCAAAGGGGCGACCTCAGTGGCCACGACAGGAGTGTCGCAGTGGGGCAGCACCGGGGAAGGCAGGGGGTGGCAGAGCGACGGAGCTGAGTTGAGGAAGAGGAGCGATGTAGGGAAAAGGTGCAAAGAGGCGGAGGGAGAGAGAGAGAGAGAGAGAGAGAGAGAGAGAGAGAGAGAGAGAGAGAGAGAGGAGAGAGAAAGAGCGAAAGAGAGTGAGAGAGAAACAGAGAGAGCGAGCGAGAGAAAGAGAGAGGGAGAGAGACAGAGACAGAGAGAAAGAGAGAGAGAGAGACAGAGAGAGAGAGAGAGAGAGAGAGAGAGAGAGAGAGAGAGAGAGAGAGAGAGAGAGAGAGAGAAAGAGAGAGAGAGAGAAAGAGAGAGAGAGAGAGAGAGAGAGAGAGAGAGAGAGAGAGAGAGAGAGAGAGAGAGAGAGAGAGAGAGAGAGAGAGAGAGAGAGAGAGAGAGAGAGAGAGAGAGAGAGAGAGAGAGAGAGATAGAGAGGCAAAGCAAAAGGAAGGGAGGGAGATGACCTAGATCGGCAGAGAGCTCCTGTCACCTAACCAGCAAGTCCAATTGATTTGTCTCTGCTGCAGTCTGCATTAGCTCTAGCTATCTGCATTCTGCAGCCCCGGTCCAAAATTCAGTGCTGCCCATCCTACTCTCTCAGACGAACTGTCGGGGTTTGTTCTGGCCGCCGTATATCATCATTGTGGCGGCTCGCGGCGGTGAAAAGTTCAGCAGTGCCGGCCCACAGCCAGAGCGAACCTCTGGCGCGGGGTGCCGACGAGAAATGAACCTAAGTGCGGAGCCATGAGAGCAGTCTGCACAGCGCCAACTTGCTCGACGTGCTCCATCCTGTGCACCGTCTGCAAATGGAGCAAGTTGGAAAAATCTGCTCCAGCTGCATTGGCCGAGAGGCGGCTGGGGTGGCGTTAGGTTACTTCACCACGGGTTATTCCGGGTGGAAAAATGAGTGTCACTGACCACACACTGAGGGGAGCGAGCTTCTGAGGTCGGTGGTCGCTGCCAGCCGGCACGTGCCACCACCTGGCTAATAGGGGCCGTAAATTGCAGAGAGCGCACCAACTAGTGGAGTGCTGAAAGGCGATACGGGTCTTCTTCGTTTGAGGAAGACAGCTATGTGAGCTAAGTAAGTTCTTCCTCCTTCAGTAATTACTTCACGTTACTCGTGTGACTAAATATGTGTAAAAAGAAGAAGAAGACAATTTCAAGTTTCTTAGAATCATCAGTACTACTTATTCGCAAAAGCATCACACTGCGTGCGTCTAACGTGTGTATTTTGCAGTTGCATGCAATCACACTGCAGTCATGTACTCACTGAGTCGCGATATCTTGTAGACGTTGACAGTGTTGATGACAGAGACGGTCGGGTCGAGCACAAAGTCCAGGCTGGGGTTGCGCTGCTGTTCGCGCATGGCCGCCAACATGGCTGACTGCAGCTGGTCCGTCTCGGTGTCGAAAATCACCCCTGTCGGCAGACGCGGCCACAATGGTCAGCGATGATGGCCCGCCTCTCAGCGCCGCACATACGGCCGCCAAGTGATATTGCTGCCCATTACACACGCCCACTAGATTGAGCGCGGCCGGCGCGGCGCTGCTGGCTCTGCCCGACTCCTCACAGCGCAGAGACCACGGCTGCAGGGAGCGTCCCCAGACACCGCCCTCACTGTCCGTTATGAACACAACGCGACATGATTCATCAGCGCCGCGCGGCCCGACCGTGCAGCGACAATATTTTGTCCAGTAAATGTTCGGCCAGTGCTGCGCAAAGGTCACAGAACGCCCCCAGGCCCGCTGAGAGCCGTGGGGAGGCTCAGAGCGCGGTAGCTGTATTTTCGACTCCGGCGCGGCGGCCAGCACCCGGCGATACCACGTCATGGGGCAATGTGTCACTGATAGTGGATTCGCTCAGATAGTGCTGAACTACAAAAGACATAATTTTGGTGGCAGCTGAGTGTGGAAACTTGGGCCGCCGACCAATTATAGCAGCGCTTCATGGTTTAGTGTCGAATGACAGACGGTGCCGTTGATTCGGTACCACAGCTTCTCGTAAACAGACGGCAGTGAAAGCAAATAGGCCACAAACGACACCATTAGGCAGCTCAATGAGGGCGTTTAATCAATTGTTTTACTATACGTGCACCATAACATTGACAGGTTTGTGCCGGTAAAAGGTGCCAATCAATTAAATATCAGAATACTTACCTTTGCACTAGAAATTCGAATCTTCTTCAAAATCGTCGTGGTTACATAATTTTTGGGAAAATAATACTTTCTCCGACCAACATATACTCTTCATTGACTTCAAGGTTGTAGCAATTTTATCATTATGCTTTATTACGTAACGAGTAACGACCTACATCAGAAGTGATGAGCCCCCAAGGCGGCAAAACATACGGCAGCGCGTGTCAAGCGACAGGTGTCTTTTCTCAGAAGCCCGGGCCAGGCAGGGGTCACGCGATCTTCCGTTGGACATGACAGGTCGACAGGCGAAAACGAGAACATTGTATGTCAGCACGACATGATAGCACTGGGGCCCATGTGTAACGCGGCCACGGCATAGACTTTGATAAAACGTAACTTCTTTATAACATATAAGACAGTGAACTTGCAGTAGTCAGAGCCGCTAGTATTCCTTAGGTAGGATCATTTTACTCTTTAATCCGCATTACTCAGCCTAGTTCCAGAAGTCGGATCATGACTAATTTTTGTATGACGATTCCATGCTATTTCATGTTTAGGCAGCGTATAATATTTTCTTTGCAGCAGTTTGTTTTGCTATTTTCTTCTCAGTCTCAACAACATGAACCAGGAAATCTATACTAAATTATTCTTTTACCACTTGGCTCGCAAACGGACCTCTAATGCGCGGCCAGCACAGGGTACGTACATCACCCAGTAAACCACCACACAATGGAGCGAGATACGGCCGAATAACCCCACCGTGCGGCGACGGTAGCGCCGGGAAACTCCCCCGAGAGGCGAGGGGATCGGCACCGATCATACGAGTCGAACCCGGACAATGGAATTGGACAGCCGTCTGAATATATTGCAGCGATCTGACGGATCGATTAGGCGGTGGCCGGCCGGGGCAGCTGTGCAGGCGGGAGACCGGGCCGGGGTGCGGGCCGGACCGGCCTGCCGGCAGTGCAGTGGCCGTCCAATATATGTCAGCCGGCCACTCGACCAGCCTGTGTGCTTGACGCCGACCTGACGGGAGTCTGAATCGAGCCGTGAGCGCCGGGCTGAGATCCAAACGAGACCGGCTAGAACCCACCTCGGCAGCACCCACCCGACTCACTCCGAACGGCTAGCCAACACCCTGCACCCGCAACCACCAGCACCCTTCATCACACCCGCCGTTTCATCCCACTAACACCACGCGGCACGCCCCACCAGCACACCCATCACACACCATCCTGTAGGCGACCACACCTCATCTCCGTTCCGTGCTTCTATCCTCAGGATACAGAAATCCTTCTCCCCCACGCCGTAACCCCCCTCCGGGCTGGACAGGCAACTTTATCTCATGCGGGCTGCTCCCTTGGAGCGGCACCGCTGCTCCCGAGGGAGCGCACCCCGTAGCCGGGTGCAGTGAGTGCCTTGGGGCTGGGTGGCCTGTCCTCTGGACGGGCTCAGCCCCGGCGACTCACTAGGGTGCCTGCCCAGACCAATGTCTCCCCCTATATCCTATCATCCTCCCGGCTCTGAAATGGTCCCATTGGACCGAAAGGGCCTAACCCAACAAACAAACAAAAAAAAAAACAAAAAAAAACGACCACACCTCATCCCATATGTACCCCAACAAACCCACCTCTGAACCCTTCTAGCACCGCTTGCACCCTCTAAACCCGTCGCACCCCATGGCCTCCGGAACACCGCGTCCCAGCGCCCATATCAGAGCGGACGCCGCCACTGTCGCAAGCTGCAGGTCACGTTTCGTCGAAGTGAATACATATTGCATTAGCCGGGCCTGAATATTAGCCTTAGCCGACCTTTCGATTCAGTGCGGGCTAGTTATGTATGCAGATTACATGTCATGACTAGTGATGCCCGGTTAAGGGAATATTTGGAGCATGACCGAGTGGATATTGATGCTTTCTCGTCGATGCATTGAGTGCAGGTTGAACCGAATTTATGGCGTGCTAAAACGGAAATGAATGGCAGTCTTAGGAAAGTTATAAATGAATATGATTTAACGAGAGCAGGGCATCTACACCAGGTTTCATTTCAGGGCCATGCTTTTATCTTTCGGCGTTTGTTTGATGCGGTACGTTTGTTTTATGCGATACTCTGTTTGGGATGTGTTCAAATAAACGAAAAACGCTATCGATTCAAAACAGTCTTCCAAACGGCCCAAACAGGCTCTCTCAGACCTTTCAGCCCGTATCGGACTTCCAGTTCCGTGAGTACTGAGATGTGAGATAGCCTGTGAGATAGAAACGATAAAATAGCATGCTTTGGAGCTGTCTATGGGACCACAAAACTCAATCAGCCACTTCCCGGATTTCCTGTTGCCTTAGCACGTGTTGCTGCTGTCTCATATCGCCTGGCCTCCCTCCGAGCGTGAAATATTGCCGTGGTAAACCGCCACGCCGGGCTGGCTTCAGGCCCATCACAGCCCGCCGGCGCGGCAGCTCACAGTCTCTGCGCTGCTCCGAGGTGCCTCCGCGACAGGAGGCCGCGCTGTCAGAGGCATTGGGGCGTGAGCGGCTCCCCGTGCACTCCGCTGGTGCGTGCACACCCGTCACGCCCGGCGCACGCCAGCTCATCAGCCGCTCACCGTGCACAAAGGAGGAGAGCTCTAGCATTGATCGGGAGCCGACACTCATACGGAAGTGGAGCTAGTGATGAAATTGAAATTGATACCCATTAATTAATTAATAAATGTGCGGTAATAAATTAAATACGATTCCGCTATCGAGTAATACATGACGAAGCAGCCATAAAAATACTTTCCCACATTTTTAGATAACTTTTGCGAAGCTCATTTTTAAACTAGACTTGGCTTGTGATTTTTTTCCATTAAACGATCTCGCGTGTGGTGTTCAGTGGGAAGAACTCCTACTTTTCATAGGATAAAACAGAAATACAACTGGCAGTTTTTATGACAACCAACCACCTATTCTTTGGACATCTCTCGTCGGTCCTGCGGTCCTGCCTTTCACGTGCTCTCCGATTGGTGAGTTTGCACCATTTGCGTTTGGCGGCGTGGGTCGGCCATGCTCCATATCTGAGCGGCCAGACCTGCTGACAGAGCACGCGGAGACGGCGGTGGCCCAATCAATGGACCCAGATGGGGGCGCCGGGGCTGGGTCGGCGACCAGGCTCAGGCGCCATCTGCAAACAGAGCCTTGACCCACTGATCAGCGAGGCGATAACTGAGCTTTTGATTGCTAGCACATGTTGAACTTTGCCAATACTTGCAATATTTCATTTATGGTTATTATGGCGTATATTAGTAAACTGACACATGCCGCATGCAAGAGGATAGCTTAGGTGGGAACTTGTATAAGTCTTTATCTTCCTGAGAAGCGGACTTGCAATCTCCACTCCACTCTCATCAATTATATCCGCTTTTCGAACAGCTCTGAACAGTTGTTGCGATATTTTCCGCTGAGATGATTGCTTTCCATCTGTCGTTCTTGCTTTTCGAGCCATTTTATATTACCGCCATAGCGAACTGCAGCAGCGGTATTATTTTACCGCCGCTGTGCGTTGTGCAGTTAACCCGCGACCGCCTGGGGGGGGGGGGGGTGGGATCCGACCCCCCCTCCGTTTTTCTTGAATAACTCATGAACCGCTTGCGCTATCAACTTGAAACTTGGCATACCTTCTCCCCCATCAATTTGACGTCTCCTGTGCAATTTTGAAGAAAAAAATTCAAATTTTTTTTAGATATACCGATTTTAGTGATGTACCTATATGACGTTTTCAGTCAAAAAATGGTAAATGTTTAAAAAATCGCCAAAAATCGAGGTTTTAAGAAAATTGCAAATTAAGGACATCAAAAGACGCAGCTCAACAAGTTCTTTAAAATGGCTATCTCGGATTTTCCATAAAATGCATTTTTGACCCCTAAAAATTCAAAAAACTATATTTTTTGGAAAACAGCTAATAAAATCCAAAATTTTGAGAATTTCCAAAAAACCGGAATATATGTTATAGAGCTCTACTAGAACATTAGATGTCCCAAAAACTTTCTATCTTGATTTTTGACCCCCAAATTGTAAAAAATAGCTCCAACATGCATAGGGCATGGTGACGTCATAAGCATTTTCGCGAATTAGAGGCACTTCTGAACATCGCATTTGAAAACAAATGGCACCACTAGATTCCTGGGACAAAGCTCGTCTACAAAAGTGCATTTTTATGTCAAAAATAAAAAGTTGAAAAATTGACTTTTTTCTTAGCCCTCGTTTAGTTATGTATGGTATAAACGATTTTTCATGCTTTCAATGCAC